TATCTATAGTGATATAACTCATATCTTAATATTAATTATGTAACAAGTTAAACTTTTGCTTTATTAATAAAGATCATAAGTAATACTTCACTTTAACATTAAAAAAAAAGTTTTATAACATTTAAATAATTCTATATTGATTTATTAATAAAAATATAGGTCTAAAAAAATTCTGTTTTTTTTTGCACCATACTGTATATTATTATATAATAAATAATAATAATAATAATAATAAAATAATTTTTTAATAAACTTGCAATTATTAAATATTTCAATATTAAATAATATAATAACCAAATTTATTAATAAATAATTAGTTGGATATTAATAAACAAACAAAAATAAAACCAGGTGCAAAATAATAAATAAAATAATTTAAAAAGGAAAATAAATTAAAATTAAAATTAAATTAATTGTTAAGATTCAACTTTCTTACGTTAATTTTAAAACTTGAGAGATCGAAATACTAATAATGAAACTATTGAGAGAACCATTAAGCAATATCAGAAAAAAAACTTTATCATCAATTAATTTTTCTTCAAAAAAATTCTTTTATTGTTATAATCTCTAAAAAAAAAATCTTTCCTCTTTCTAAAATGCTTCAAGATAATTAGTATAAAAAAGTATTCAATTAACCTATCGGGACTTTTATCAACCTTCGCTGCAATAATGCACATTGTGCGTGAAAAAAATTATGTTAAAATTATTAACATTATATTCGCAAATTACATCCCTACCATATAAGGCCTAGCCTTTCGTATAACGATCTTTCAAGATCTAATGATCATCCACACATTGAAAGGTTTAACTATTTTTAGATATAAATAATCTAAAAAAAAAATGAATGTGGGCTAACCGGATATCTTGATATCTTGACTAAATTAAATATTGTCTCTCGCATGGCGTACACACATATCAACTACGTCATTGCATACAGAACTATCAATGTACATGCGTTTGCAGGTCTAATCAATAAAATCTATTAATATTCACAATAATTCGGCTAGAAATTGCAAGTAATCTTGGTCAGATTATATTTTGTGACACAAGCATATAAGCATCTAACCGACTTGTCAATAAGCCGACATAAATCGCTATATTCTTTCCATCTCAAAATCCAACAACTAAAAAACATCGTGAAACTTGTTATATATCATAAGCCATGAGTGAATCGCGAACCGAATTGCTTGCTTGGCTAAACGACCTGCTGCAAATAAGCTACACGAAAGTTGAACAATGCGGAACAGGTGATCTCGTCACTCCTTGATGAAGATTCGACTTTCAAACTAAGGTTTATTTTTCTGTTTTCTGCTATAGGCGCAGCCTACTGTCAAATCCTTGATTCTATATTTGGTGAGACTATCATCGAATTCAATAGTCACGACCCTATAGAAAAGAGATAATTATTCACTCATCCGATCCTTTATCTACAGGAGATGTGCAGATGAACAAAGTCAAATTTGTGGCCAAACATGAATACGAATATGTGGCTAATTACAAGGTGTTGCAAACAGCTTTCGATAAACATAAGGTTGACAAGGTAACAAATAGAATTAATTGTTTTTTCTTTTTGTAAAAAATTTTTTTTCTGATTTCAAAATGCATGCTTATTCAAGAAAATATTTTTTTGTAAATGTATACCTTAGATTATTCCGGTTGAGCGCCTTGTTAAATGTAAATTTCAGGATAATCTTGAATTTTTGCAGTGGGTAAAGAGATATTGGGATACTTATTATCCCGGTGGGTCCTATGATGCGAATGCAAGACGTGCTGGAGCTGTTGCCGGACCTGTAAAGACTGTTTCTGGTGGGGGCACCACTAAAACAATGGCACCAAAACGAACTGCCGCTCCCTCATCTGTCGGTAGGTTTCATTCAATATGTTATTTTGATTTTTTAGACCTTGTAAATAATTTGATTTTGACTTATCAAAGGCCGTGTCGCACCCACAAACTTTGATTCATCTTCAATGGTGAATGAATTAAATAAACAAAATGATGAGCTTAAAGTTGCTTTAGATGGTCTCGAAAAAGAGCGTGACTTTTACTTTGGGAAACTCAGGGATATTGAAATCTTGGTTCAGCAACAATTTGATAATGAACCCGAAAATCAATTGTTAAAAGAAATTCAATCCATTCTTTACAGTACGGAAGTAAGTTTAATTTGTCAAAATTCTGTCTTGTTCTATACCGAATTATTGAAATTTAAATTCTGTTTAATATTAGCCGGGTTTTGAAGCTCCCCCTGAGGGTGCTGGCGAAGACTACGGAGATGAAACCTTTTAATCACTGTACTCTAAGTTATAGTAATTATTCATAATTCAACTTCCCGAGAGAATATTTTAATTTCTACATGAATTTGGTTTTTTATTTCCACATTAATTATAAAGATTATTGTTTATTAAAAATTTGTCAAAAAGATCGTTATA